TATATATATATATATATATATATATAAATTTTCACAAAGGTATGTACCTTAATCTTAATATAAAGTATTCAGCGATAGAAAAAAATTAATAATCTCATATCTTTGTGTACAATCATATTTTTTATTTTACGTATACACAAAACTATTTTGGTGTTCATGATCCATAAGAGAAGAAATGAAGTAGATGTTATCACATAACAAAATATTAACAATAAAAAGTCTCTTAACAAGATTCACTTTGACAATCAGCAAAGAAAATGCGTTATATGGGGTTCTTATAAAGCTTCTTGACGTTTTCATGGTTATAGACTTTACGATCACCCAAGTCTTAATTATTAATTATTGACTTTTTATGACGAGACACTAATTACTAACTAATTTATATCTCAAGTCTCAATTGCTAGTATGTTGCCACTTTCAGATAATTCATGAGAAGGGATGGGTTTGTAGTGGCCATGATTCGATCTTGGATCTTCTTAGGGAAAAGGATAGTGTGGTATACATTTACTCAAGGTAAGCTCATTAACATTGAGTCAACATATTATTTGAATGCTTTTAAGTGTGGTATCCAGGTTTTGCCGACATCTATACTAGAGAGACTGAGTGTCCTATAGGTTAAGTAGATGTAGAAGGCTTTTTTATCTTTCTTTTTTTCGTGTGGTTTATGCTGTCGGATAGCATCTGCCAAGTCCGGCATCGCAGCAAGCGCTCCACAATACACGACTGGCATAAGGTATTCGACAGCCAATAATCAAGAGGGCCATCCGACAACATCTAGCCATGTTAATATTGTACAGCTTCATTCAGCTGTATATTACATCATCTCAACGATGCAAGCCATTTTTGACATGAAAGTTAGTCACATAGGGTAGGTAGCGCCCTCTATCAACTATTTTTGTAACCACAGGTTAGAATTCCTCATAGTCATTGTTATATCTACCAATAATTATTGCTCTTGACGAATAGCATTCATTTTACTGATGTTTAAAACTCAAAGAATGTTTATAAGAACGCTCTATACATTTAAACAACAAACACGGTGTACTTAAATATTAAAAAAGATGGTTTATCTCAATGCATTTTTAAATCGTATCTAATGGACTCACTGGTCAGTAACGTTAACAAAAGAGGAAGAGGGATTCTTACATATTTTGATGAACTATTGTCTTATTGGTTAGACGTACTTCTTCACTTTCTGTGCCTAAACCGGTATTTAAATCAACAAAACTTTCTTTATCACATTTCTTTTTCTGCCATGCCTTCCATCCATACATGCTGCTAGGTCTCCGTAATTTGAAAGAGCCACCGGAACTGCTTTGACTCCCCTTCCGACAAAGATGGGGTGAGCAAGTTAAAGACCCCTATAAAAATTATAATTGTAATACTTCGGGTCATATGTTATAAGAAGAAATGCTGTATTTACTGTCTAGATAAAACTTAAAACTTGTATTTAATATCAAAATTACCCATCTTTTTACAAAAGTAGTTATAACTTGTACCCTAAAACGATTACGAGGAAAAAAATCCCATGTATCAAAGTCCTACATGTAAAATATTAGCTGAGACAGTTACAGATAGATAAGTAAATTGTATAACTCACCTCAAAGATACACGAGTTGGTTTAAGAACAAAGAATATCTACTAATATAGCAAAAACCACTTCGTTGAAGTAAAGGGTGATTATAAATAGTTGTACATATTTTAAAACCGAATTATTTTCAAATATTGAAATATAAATACGTAAAAGTACACGTTTGTCTAAAACCTTCAAGGCTTATCCCGTTTCTCCAGTTTTGGATAAAAGTAATTTAGTAAAACTGTTTACTTCATTTAATTCCGGTTTTACGCTTCTTATGAATCAACTCAAATTTTAGGTATAAAATCACATACTTTAAATCGGTACACACTAAATATTAAAATTATTGGTAGGCCTAATACAAGAAACAACTTTGTATTAAAGATAATTTGTTGATAAGCACGTGAAAACCGGAATTACGTAAGCAGCACCATAGAATTATTCTTAATAGTATAGACGTAATTTCCTGTCAGTGAACTATTTAAGTTTAGTATTAAGCGAAGGATTAAGAATTTATTAACGGATAGTGACTGCTCAGAGTAAATCATAAACACTTTTGTGATACATGGAAATTAACTCAAGAGGAGCATTGAACTATCGCTCAGTAATTACATCACTAGATTCATATAACTAGACAAATCGGATATTTTTTTCCTTCTTCATTTGGATGCTGATGTTGTTATTGCCATCTGTTTCTTCACGAAATAGGCCAAAGCCCCATTTTGCATCTTGTGTTTGTAAAACACTTTACGATTTCCTATTGAACTGCTAGATTGGCCGAATGGGACCGTTACCTTGGAAACTTCTCCTTCCAGATCTAAAGCTTTTTGACATTTAACTGTAGGGACACATCAAATCTACTGTTTATATCTTTTATTCAACTACACATCCAAATTTTAATCATCTTATCAAAGGGGAAAATGATAAACTTCTAACGAAAAGTACCAGGTTCTAGGATTATCAAAATCTGGAGATCTTAGCAAGGAATATTTTAGTTACACAGTTTCAACACTGCTTGTAAAATGTTTGACGAAACGTATGGCCATGTGAAAGTGTTATGAAACACGTAGGTACACACGTAGACTATCATGCACTTTACCTCAAGTTAGTATTTTCACTTGTTTATAAGTTGTCAGTTTTGAAATACGAATAGTAATTTCTAAGTATAATATTTCAACCCGTTGTTAATAAATTTGAAAATTATGGAACCTTAAGAGTTTTCAGAAGGTATTCGTTCCTTACCCTTGTTGAATATTTTCACATTGAGAAGTAAATAAATACAATGACATTTCATAACTTTATAAACTACTATGAATGGAATATATCTGTGCTTTATATTAAAAATATATATACCCTTAATTTTACAATCATTTGGGTGATAAACAAGATACTTATAATTAGCATTATGTGTAGTCAGATAAATATGTACTAACAGTTTCGCTAGCTTACACCATGCTCTAAGTGGTTGTCATCACTGATGCTCTGCTTAAAAGCTGGTGTCAGAAAATATCTGTATATCATACCTAAAGTCATTATAGTCTACAACAGCACGACCACTTAAACATAGATACAGATATGCATATATGGCTTAACATATGTTACACAGTACGAAATAGAACTATATAGCATTAAGAGCACTTTTACCAGATTACCACATTATGTAAAGTGCCTTGTATTTTTCTCTATATTAAACCTGGTTTACAATTCATCAGTTCATTTTCCTACCAAACCAGGTTCTGCTATACAGATACACGTGTTGAACGATAAAGTTCAATTTGTTACAGACTTTTTCTGGCATACACATTAATGATTTCAGGAAACATTTTAGAAGTAAATGAACATTTGATATCATATAAATAACCTTGTTTGAATAATTCAGAAGGAAAACGCTAATATAATCAGAAATTTTACAGTAAACTTTAGAATAGGAATTGTATTTACGTTTTAACTAAAAATTTTCCCCCGATACAGTGAGACTCATTAATGAATTTCCATTCCTAACAAAAACATTTGTAGTCAACACTAGCATAATAACTTAATTTTTGATTAAGTTATTTTTCTTTAATCTATTGAAATGAAAAAGTTTCAGTACAAATCGCAGAGCGTTTAAAAATACTAAGTTAAGTATTCATTAATGTCCTACATACTAGGTATTTGTGTAAAAATTTTACGGTTATTTTTTTCAAGCAAAACATATATCGAACATTACTCCTTCTACTTACAAGCGCCTAGTGGTTAGCATGTGGAACTTTGAATCATGGTTCGCATCCCCGCAACCCCCCACCGCCACAAAAAAAAAGAACCACGCTCCATATTTTGCGCCCGTGAGTTCGTTGTTAGAATGTTACTATTCGATTACAGTAACCCAACACTTGGCGGTGGGTATTGTTGACTAGTTGTCTTCATTTTAATCTGTTTCTTCAAAATTAGGGACAGCTAGCTCAGGTAGCCCTTGTGTAACTCTGCACGGATAGCCGAAATATACAAATAAAATCCAGTTCCAAGTCATGACTTTTGAGTTTATAAAATTGCCTATATTTAAAGCCCTAGCTAACTGTGAAAAGTCTCGAAAAATATGTATTTACAAATATTTTAAAATTCTAAAAACCGACACTTTATATTTTCACAGAGATTTCTATATACAGAAAAGCGTATACAAAATGTATTTAGTGATATGTCCTTACGTTTCTGCTGAGAAAAGATGGTGATAGACTACTGCGACGAACTGGAGGAACTGGCAACTGACTACACCTGTGGTCAATCTCTGGAAGAGTCGTAATTATTCCACTAGATGGCAATGCCAACTTTACATTGTTTCTACTGTGAGTACGGGAAAGGCTTGGAGATTGTTGCGCCGTACCCACTAAACTTTGGATCTTCAAAAATGACAGAAAGGAAAATAAATACAGCAAACATGTATAATTAGTCTTTTTCAAATATATGATCGAGTAAATGTAATACTTACAACAAAAAAAGTAGTGTTTCATTGCAAACTAGAAAAAAACTTACACGAAATTATTTGTTTAATCTATCCTCAAACTTAGAAACATTTAAAGAATTTTTGTGAAATTCACAGACATGTGCACTTAGGTAAGACTGATGAGTCTTCACTTACTGGTGATTTATCAATGGAGTCAATAGAGGAGTTACTGATGTTAAGTGTCATCAGGTTGGAAAGCTTGTTATTTAAGTCCCGTACCAATGGTTCCAGAGTGGCATTCGGGGAACCTTGTGGTGTGGCTGCCGTATGAGTAATTATTGGTGGATAACACAGCAGCTCACTTGGTTTGGTATCCGAGTTGCAAATGTTTGTAACAGCCAGTACAGGCGGATTAGACAACATTCTAGTCTCTAAATACAAACACATTAATGTGATTTTATGTGAGCGGAATCAAACACATGATTATATATGATTATAATAAATAGCATAACATTTCATGATGATATTATAAAGTTAATTATTGTGAAATAGGTCGAGAGAGAGATTTAGAAAATGATGTGACTAATGTGAGATAGACGTCTTACGTTTGATATGAGAGTAGAAAGATTCTCTTTAAAATACAGCTTAATAAAATCGGTTTCCTCTTTTCAAGGCATGGACATTATTCAGTTTTGAAATATATAGACTTTCACTCAAGTACACACTTTCAGTTAGCTTTCAAAATTTCACGCACTTTTAATCAAAATGTCAACTATTTGAAAGTAAACGTACGAATGTATTATGTTCCAACACATAAGTAAACTTACGAGTGTATTATGTTCCAACACATATACTTTCTAATTACTATGGATAAGTTTTTTTTTAGCTACACTGTATTTTTTATTAAGTGTGTGAAATATGTGGAGTAAATGCTTTGTTTTTATAACGATTTTAATAAATTTGGTAATATTCTTTCACACTCTTAACTCTTTGAAAAAGAAACCAAAACCAGAATGAATACCAAATTATTGTTTAATCTTATGCTGCGTTTAAACCAAACACAAGAAGTGAGGGCCACTATTCAGAATTGAAATAACTATATGGTTGACAATTATAAACGTTTCTGGATTCATGATTGCAATAATGACCCATTATGTATTTTTAACGTACACAATATCTCATATAATCTCAAGTTACCTTTTTCAATATTGTCCTTGAAGTCAGCATTATAAATGGTGACATTTGTGATTTTATTAGTTGGTTTAAAGCTGTCACTGTCAGATGTGTTATCTTCGGGATTCTTTGATTCACTTCCATCTGTGAGCTTTTCACTACTCTTCTTTTTATCATCCTTAAAGGTATCAAATGAAATTATTTTAATAAACTTTACCTAAGGAGTTTCTTGCATTGTTATTAACTATGTGTATTGATGCTGTTGACGTTATATTTTTGGTGATATGAATTGATGCATTGCTAATATATCGGAAAATCATTTTAGCTTTTTTCATAAAGATCGATATTGGTATAGGATTTTTAATCTCTAGATAGCATGCATTGTTTACACATTAAGTACAGGCTGAGTAGAGTGGTACAAAGTTAGCGTTTTTCACGAATATTTGTTCACAAAATATTTCTTTGATTTAACCATGCATTTTATAGGACGATCACTATGAAATAACGACAACAAAAAAGCAGCTCGACGTTTTCTTTTATAATAAAACTAAATCTAAATATTTATCTTTCATGAAATATGGTGGATTTTACTTTATATTCGGGTGATAAAAAAGATAAAACCAAGTAAAAACTAAACCAAACACTCTGACTGAGATCTTTATAGAACTAATAAACCATGCAGAGGACACAGCACAATTGCCCTTGTGCAGCTTTGCATTGCAGCAAAAAAACTAACAAAATAATTAATAAAGATTTTAACTAAACGTTAGTTTCAGTTAAACACTTTCATAATTTCCCTAATTTCAAATTATGAAATTCCAGCACTAAAACTAGATCCAAAATAAAATGTGTTTTTGTTACATTACATTATTTTGACAAGGATATGAATGTTGTTAATGATATTTTAACGAGAGAAATGAGCGGATTTCCCCACGTTTTATCTATCTATAATTGTATAGACCTCACCGAGCATAAAAACTAAATCGATAAAAGAATAAATGTACTTTATATGAAAGAAACTAAATATAAATTATACTTACTTCAGTAGAAAACCCCTCCACTAGAATTGCTACAAGGAGATTGAACAGGACATAATTTCCAAAAGTCATGAGAGCCACAAAATACAAGGCAGCCCAATGCGATGTTTTCTCCATGCCATTGAAAAGTACGACATTCCAATCTTCTTGAGTGAGTATCTGAAATAGTTTATGTTTCAATAGTTAAAGCCATGTCACAATCTAGTATGATCTGAACTATTATCGTCATAATACTCATAAAAATAATCATTAATATGAAATACTTAGATAAAAAAGAAATACAATAAAAAACACACCATGGAAAAACGTATAGTCGGTTTCAATGTTTCTTTTTTTTCTTATTTATTATACAACTTAAAGAATAGTCATACAGTAATAAGTGTAAATATATGTTTCAGACTGTATCAGATGAGGTTGTAAGGAATCTTCAACAATGAGGATATTTGAAACTTCTGACACTTACTTTGAGGTTTGCTGGTGCAATAACTACTATAAATTAGATAATACAATACGGTATGCCGTGCACACATATGCAACACATATGTTTATGTTCTAGTGTTGTCATATTTTCAGATTCACCGATTGTTTTTCTCTCGTCAGCATTTGTCTGGTAATCGTAATCCGATATGTGTTGCTCCATTCAGCTTCAGAATGGCGTGAAATGCAGCGCCTTGGCTGTCCTCATCCGTCTCTACTTCTTGAGACTGAGGTTTAACTTCGGGGAAAAACGTGATCTGTCATTTTAGATGCACCATATTCTGGCATTTCCCTTAACTGGGGCTGTGTCTATAGCGGCAAGACGTCCTAACTTTTTGTTACACCTGCAAACGTTCAATGACCAGATGAGGACTTCTAAACCCAACAACTCACTCTCTCGTAATCATCAATTCTTAGAGCTTAACTCTTCCTCCTGGTTAAAAGTCAACTGGATGGTAATTTTTCCTTAATCTTAACCATCAACTGAATAAATCTGAATAAATCAGAAGATCACGGGCAAATAGAGTTGTCAAGAGAAAAGCAGACGCCCTTAAAATATATTCTTCAGTCACAGCATCGTATTTTCTTCTTCTTAACTACCCTGTGGTATTCACAGGTTCACTGATTTCTCACCAAGTGATCAAATACATGCCTCAGAATAGCAGGATGTTTCAACAGACATTTTTTGAGCGTGCAAAGCCTGAATTCTCTTAACCTCGAAGCAATGAAAGCAATGAAAGAGACGGTGCACAAGTTAAACACAGCGAAATAATCTTTATTCACACAAAAACACAATCAAAGTATAAAAGCAAGTTTATTTTGTGCCACCTTTGCTGGAAAGCTTTTTATATGTTAATCTGTTAATATGTCTCATATCGTTCTATCCCAGACTGGGAAAACATAGCAATACATATGATAAAGAACAATATCATTCTTTTCAGGGTGTAAATGCCAGCTATGTTACTGTCGATCATTCTCACTCCTTAATAAGATATGTTATATCTTTGGAGAATCACTTGACTAGCCAGTGGAAAATATTACTGTGTATTTCTATACACCAAGGTCTGCATTACAGCAACTTTTCCCATGTATACGTGTGACATCCTAGTTAAATGACATAGTTCTGTGAGTAACTAGGGCATGAGGAAGCTCTTGTTTGACTTTCTATACTAAGAACACAGACAATATGCCCAAAAATTAAAAATATATATTTTAAGTAAGGAGTAGGAAATTATAGTAACCTTGCCTATCATAGTGTGTCGTTAGCTTGTAACAAGATAAAAAAAAAGATGAATGCATACTAAGTCAGACAAAAATGCATTTACTTGAAAATTCAATCCGATATGAGTAGAAATTCAAAGGTGAAACTAATTTATTTTCAATATTATTCGAACATCTGAAGGGGGCAAATATTTGTACAAAATGGTGTAATTGAGAGGAACGGAAGACTAATTTATGTATATCATAATGCAGTTTACAAAATGGTGTTTTATAAAATAGTTATTTTCTTTGTGGTGGTTGAATGAGTTTAACAAAATGGTGTTTTATAAAATAGTTATTTTCTTTGTGATGGTTGAATGAGTTTAACAAAATGGTGTTGTATAAAATAGTTATTTTCTTTGTGATGGTTGAATGAGTTTAACAAAATGGTGTTGTATAAAATAGTTATTTTCCTTGTGATGGTTGAATGAGTTTAAGATAATCTAGCATAAAAAGTTCCTTTTCTCAAAACTTTTTGTAGAAATTTTTCATTAATGTTTTGTTAGGTACAAGAATCGAGAATGAAAATGTAATAAGTGAAAATCAAAGAATGCACACGATAAGAGTGAAGAATAAACTGTTTGTAATCAGAACTAAGAAATGACAGTTACAGACTAAGTGTATACATGAAAAAGGACCGATCGTTACCCAGTGTTTAACGGGCCGGATTTTGAATCTACGGGTTACATTCACGTTGTGTTCCCTTAAAAAATCATGATCTCAATCTTGGGGTCGGTGGTGCATTTTGAGGGTGGTGGACTAATTATACACTTCAAGAGCAAAGACGACTAGCATATATTTCTTTTTAGTAGCTTTGCACAATTATCCTAAAATATACACACACACATTTAGAACTAATTAATTCTAATAAAGAGGCACATGTAAATTGGTGTTTTACTGCATAACTCTTACCTGAAAAACTGTGACAGTCGCCCATAAAAAGTTGTTGAAATGATTGCGTTCACACAGACAGGTGATATTGGGGTTTAGCAGCTCCACACACGTGCAAGGCCCTTTACCATCCGCTTGATAACAGAACTTACCACCAAACAAATACATGCCCAAGCAGCTGCAAACAAAGTACCCAAATCGAACTACCCAAAATCACTAATAAAACTTCATCGTCCAAGTTTTTCAAAAAACAAATTATATTTCAAGCTTAACAAGATATTGATTAAATTCTGATCTACAAACAGCAAAAAATTCATCACCATTTATATGACAATAACTCACTTTTATAAATTGAATAATTATTCTCTTTTCTCTCTGCCTTTATTGCCTGTTTCAGTTTGCCTTTATGAAAGTTTGTATTAAACAATCATCAGTTGTATTTGAAATAACGTTTTAATATATCTTGTTCATTCAAGATACCGTTTTGTGTTTTGAATTTCTGCATGACTTACAGTTAATGACTGTATCTGCATTATACATTAGTAACTGTACTTGATAGTGGCTTCATACATTATTTCCTACCGTTCAGAATCGGTTATCAATAACCTAAATATCATTACATTCCAAGATTTCGAATATTTTAAAACAATTTAAATTTACCATTTTAAGAAATATTTAGTAACTGTAGAACGAGTTATGACAATTATGATATCCTATTCTGCTATACCATCAAACTATTTAACTAAAAGTAATATAATATAAAGAATAAAAACTACCGAAGTTAACTGTTTATCATCCATTAATGTATCAGCGCAGTATGCACTGATTACAATATACTTGACGTAGAATACAATGAAATAAGTATTTTTGGAGTACTATCATAAATTTAATACTGAAAGTTCCAGTATTATCTAATATTTGCGAATAATAACAAAAGAAAAATGTCTCTTGTGAAAACGTTTATCATATGTACTTCAGCGACCTCTTAACTTATATTGTGCGCATAATTTTATTCTACCTGGATTATATGTGCTAAAATATCGAAATTTATTGTATGCAAGAATAATAAAATGCCATAAATATTTTAATTGATCTTAGTTCCTAACTGTTTCGCTACTGAGAGCAAATGTTTTGTGTTTCCAAAATAAATATTAAGCGCTTTAATTAGGAAATTCATTTTGTCATGAAAATAAACCTGAAATATCTAAGAGCCAAAATCGCCCTATAAAACTTAGAGTAATAATTGTAGCCATCAGATATATGAAAACATATATTTTTAGTCTTTGAGAGAACAACAAGAACAAAAAAAAACTCGTTTTTTTAGGTAATGTTTAATCTCGTTCACCTTGACGTTAGAACCACGGGTCTTGGGGTGATTCGTTTGGAACAGATGTTTCTAGTTTTCATTCTTCATTTGTAAGATAGTGCACGTGTTATTTTTCTTTGCTACCTTTTCATTTTTCTTTACAAGTTTTCATCAAAGAACTAATTCTCAATTGTATAAATTAGGTGTATGGTTCAAGCACAAAAGTGTAACAAATCTTGCACAGGCACACAGATAGAAAAAAGCAATACAAAGAAAAAGGCCTCTAAAAAGACGTGTGTAGGGCTGCTTCCCCTTATATTATTACACATGTAATTTCTAGGACTACATCTTTTACTGCTACAGTTATTCTTCTATAAGTTCAGAATATGTGAATAAACTGGAAAGATATACCTGAAATACTGTCACTATAGCCCACAGTAAGGAATCAAAGTTCTTCCGATCACACTGCATCGTGCCATCTTCATCTTTTTCACAAAATTTACACCCAAAAAGGTTCATACCTAGAATACTGAAGGGAGGTTGGTAGTAAAGCCAACTGGTAAAATACACAAAAAGGAATAAAACCAGAAATCACCCATGTCAAAAAAGGGGGGGAAGAGTTAAAGAGATGTGATCCTGACACTAAAAAAACAAAACAATTACATTTGTAGGAATTGGTTAATCACAAATCATATATATTCATAACAGAACAGGTGTAAAAATGGATAATGTTAATACAGGTATACCATGTTTCTTTAGATGTTTAGGTCTATGGAAGGTCAGTAAACAAACATGCTGGGGCTTATTACGTGTATCTTACACCTGCTTCAGAGAATTCAGTTTATCCTGAATTTAGTAAATCTCTGAGGATAGTTTGAACGATATATATATCTACTAAAATTAATAGAAAAATATGCTATATTTAAAATTAGCTACAAAAATTTTGAAATGATGACGCTGATAGTAAATTTACCCAATCACAATTTTTGTTGACTTGTGCAAAAAAAACTTATAGTTTATGTTTCTTAGTGTATCGACAAATAATCTTTTTTATAGGTCTTAGTTAAATTCTGAGGCTATAAAACCCATGCAAAAAATGATATATATTGTTACTTCTACTGCTATCCTACTTTTACTATTTGTTTAGGTGGATAAATTAAATAGCTCGAACATTTATGCTGAATAATCTGTAGTTGGATTTGATAATGCTAAGTTCTATAAACATTAACTAGCGTGTTGAAGGAATTCATTAAATAAGGATAGGTTATCCATAAACCGAGGAAATAATATATCTCGTTTTGGGATTGATCGAATTTTGTTTTTTTATACTGAAATTATAAACTTTATTTTAATTGTATATAACAATACACAGACAAAAATATCGAACTATATAACCCGAGCTGATGAAGAAAGGTCTACCTTTCGAAATTGCTCGGGTTATATAGTTCGATATTTTTGTCTGTGTATTGTTACATGATGTTGGGTAAACATATAAAAAATACAAACAACCCGAACCTTTCTTCATATGATGAAGAAAGGTCTACCTTTCGAAATTATATGAAGAAAGGTTCGGGTTGTTTGTATTTTTTATATGTTTACCCAACATCATGTAACAATACACAGAGCTCTCTAAGTCTGATAAGTTATGTTTTAAATCCTCTTGCTGACAACTTGAGAGAATTATTATTATTTCATATATTGACTTCCAGTACAATAACATACGTTACCACGAGCATCTGTCCTAGTTTAAAAATCAAATGATTTATTTATTTTATAATCACAGTTTGAAATATAAGTTGTACTTTAATGTAGTAAATGTTTAAGAAAAATAATGCATCCTATTTTATAAGCAGATAGCAATTATCAAGTAACATATTAATGTTAAAGCAGTTTTAGATAGCGGGTGATTCAAAAGTCCATTGAAAGGCAAATAATAATTCAGAATTTGGGAGGTACAAAATGACAATTACAAAGGTATATACATATATATAATAACAAATAAAACATCTTTAAAACTACCAAATTGCTTCACAACAAAAACTCTTATAGGTATCCATAAAGGGGGAAGCATTGTGTAACAGCATAACGAACATGTAACAAACAATCAAAAGCCGTGTTTAAAGTACTGCCCAAATTTAGCTGCTGTTATTGTTCTACCCGCACGCTACCTATACGTAAATGAACCTGTAGTACGTAGCCGACGAAATACATTTCCTATCGTTTGATGTGAAGGATGACGTTCATCTCGGAACCATTGGATACACAAAATGACAGCAATCTGGGCATTCTGGCTACACTCTCCATACAGTAGGATTATGTTAGACTGATCTTTAATTGAATATCGTATTGTTATTTTGATAATTTAGGAGCAACATCAATACAATGCTTGATGCTATCTTGTGTTAATACTTTTTTATACCTTTGGATACTTCAAAGGTGCAATGGCCTACTTATGCAAAATTTTAACATAAGTTTTTGTACTAGCCTTCTTTGATTTTTTGTTACACAATTTTATGTATGGAAGAGGCGCATTTATAACTATAATTGTTGTTGTTCTGAAACGGTTTTTGTTATTTTTGGTTTAAAATGTTTCATTTGCTATTGCCTATACCTTTGTTATATATACGGTGTGTGATGCATATTAATAAAATTTATGAAAAACGTGACCTTGAAGACGGCCTTGAATCATCTTATTGATATTATCACAGGGTAGATCCATGAAATCTAATTTCAGTGTTATTGTCACAGGGTAGATCCATAAAATCTAATTTCAGTGATATGTCACAGGGTAGATCCACAAAATCTAACTTCAGTGATATTATCACAGGGTAGATCCATAAAATTTAATTTCAGTAATATTATTACAGGATAGATCCATAACACCTAATTTCAATGATATTATCACAGGGTAGATCCATGAAATCTAATTTCAATGATATTATCACAGGGTAGATCCATAAAATCTAATTTCAGTGATATGTCACAGGGTAGATCCACAAAATCTAACTTCAGTAATATTATTACAGGATAGATCCATAAAATCTAATTTCAGTGATATGTCACAGGGTAGATCAATAACATCTCATTTCATACTACTAAAAATGAATTTCATTTCTGAATAATTTATCTGTCAATAGAATTATGAATCACACTTATACCTCTTGTTTTAACATAGTAACAAATATATACAACGTTTCGACAAGGTTTAATCATCATTAAATTTGTAATAGATGTTTCGTTATTACCCATTCAAGTCGTCATCAAACATTATTGTCTGTAAGTGAAAGTAAATGAAAACTCGTGTTTCTACAACTTTTTAAATTGTATTTAACCGTTTGGATGACAATGAAGTGTCGTTTCACAATGTGATGTCCAATAAGACCTTGTGTTCTGTAATCTAGAAACACTGATCGGTTAAACTGTTTGAAATTGAATTATGAATGCTTAGAAAGAATTACGTAATCTCCATTTTAGTATCTAACTATTTATCGACATTTAATGTAGTTATCTTTATATTTCTGAAATTCAAAACGTTCTGTTATGTAAAACGATTTTCAAAGCTTGCCAGTTGTTCAAGCGGAAAAAAATGCTTGGCTGATTTATATGAACCTACTTATCTCATCTTTTAGTTTTTGTTGAACTTATTATCTGTATTTAATCCATTGCTTTTAGATATTACAGAATTACAAAACGATGTTAATACGATTTCCATGTAATTTATGTTTAATAACTTTTATTTACCAAGTTCAAAACAATTAACTTGGTTAAAAGCATAACCAAAGTTAATTTTTTATCTAAATATTTTGCCATGAAATTAATATGATTCATTCCAATGACAAAGCTCATGTTGAGTAATTGTACAAAATACTTTGTTAATGAACAACAGGTTGTAGCAAATAATTATATCGCCTGTTTTGTTACATAAAATGCAAATTATAATCCACAAATGGAATTGAATAATAAGTAATGATAATTATAATATTATACGGTTCCAGAAATATTTTTGTTTGTAAAAAATGGATGTATCTGTGTCAAACAAAATAAAATACCAGCACAAAACTTGTTTACAATTATTTCAAATATTATAAATTCTATGACCGATTGTTAAATGAAAAACATGAATCTGTTTAAAACCTACAATAAAATCCGAAGAAATCTGGCAACATAATTCATTTCTAAAAACTATAAACAAACTGATATAAGATCTTACACTGGACAAAGTGACTACACTGTACAAAGTGACATTCGCCGCCGAAAAGTGTGGCTACTTTTAAACTGAAAACTAAGTTTTTTTTTAGAAAAAAAGAACAAGAAGAATTGTATGTGTTTATCTGGTAAACTAAAACTTATATAAAGAGATGAAGTTATAGCGATATAATTCGTCTTGTGTTATGAACAAGACATATCAATTTAGTTTATTAATAAACGATATATATGTGTCTGGGTAAAATCATCTTTGAGTGTTCGCCAATGGGGTAGTGAAAATTCCCACTCTGTAATCGAATATATGTTCTATAGTACAAAGTTCAAGGTATGGTGTAGTCTGATGAACTTGGCAAGTATGTCCCTTGATTTCTTAATTGAAAAAATATCTGTAGTGAGATTTTCATTGCTGTGTTATAAATCGTTCTATTACCACAATTTCACTATGCCAGGTTTATGGGAAAGTTTGTTATTTTTGGTGTGCTTCATCAAAAGGTTTAAACACATAGAGAAATACCTACAATAAATAGTTTTCCTTTTCAAGAGATTTATAATATTATTAAGAAATATTTATAGTTTTTGTAGAGTTCTAAAATTAACAAATGTTCTATTACTAAACAAATAGTTTTACTATATCGAAGGTAAGATGTGTTCTCAAGTTCAACTTAAAATTATTTGTAAGTCTATATTTCGTTTGAGTAATTGTTTTAAGTTTAAATGCATTGTTCCTAAAATGCAACGCTTTTAAGTCATTTATAAATGTACTTGTCCAAGACGTAGCAATGTCTTACGAACTTGTTGTTAGAATTCAAGAATTTAAGAGCATGCGCAAAATACCCAACATAATAAGACAGCTATTCTTCCACAGGCTTTATAAGACTGTAACATCTCTCTTATACCGTCGAATATATCTGTTCTGGAGAGTTCTTCAAATAAAAAAATACCTGGATTACATGATAGCGGCCTGAACACTGAGGTCGTCCTCAATATGGGACACCTCTCCATTATCACTTTGACACCACTTTGTTTTTAAATGTAACGTTTTTTGGATGATGGATTCGGAGAAGCTGCTCAATACCTTGGCTGCCAAATCCCATCTATGATTCATGAAATAAATTGCATTTATTCCTCTTTAGCCAGACGTTATCAAGGAGCTGCAAGACCACATACTGGAATATTTGACCTCTGTTACCCCTGACTTTCTAACTCGTGTGGTCGGTGATCGAGTACTAAGTAAATGTGTGCTGTATAACTTATAACGCTAATCACGTGTAGGAAACTTTACGATTTGTAGATTATTTATTGAAAATATCAAACCGCTCTGGTAAACATGAGTTTTGCGATTCGACTGTGAAACTAAAACAGTAATTTAGGAACATCATTTACTTAGCAGAGCGTATAAGACTCTGTAAAGAAGAATGACAAATACTAGAGAAGCAGTTAGCAAGTTTCAATCTTGAAAATTATTATATTATACCGCAATCGTAGCTCATGGTCCAATAACTGGGATTTCTAATAAATATTCATGAAGTATATGTTCCTTTAAAACTTAGAATACGCATTTATGTAATATTAAAAAGGTATCTATTAAATGTTTTCAATAGATTTTAGTCTACCATACGGAACAGTGCTTTACACCAATTAACTTACTTGAAGTAAAGCACATGTTTTGATGTAGAGCGTGATAGGAAAAAAATGTTCAAAAAGGAATTGTGGGAGAAGGTTATAGTAGAAAAGTCATTAAATAATTCGCTTTTGTCTACTTTCATAGTCACTGAATCTAGTGTGTCTCTCTCATAATTTATTGTTTCATATTTATGACTTTTGTGATTCTGCATTAACTTAAGTGATCCACGGAAAGCGAAAGTTCTGTAAAGTATAAATTAACTTGGTATTATTAATACAAGAGGTAAAAAATAATATACAGTACTTTAAAATATCATGTAACTAAGGCAAACTACTGGGTTTATTGAACTAAATATTAGGAATACTAGAAAAATTGTGTAGAATTAATTAGGAAGCCAGTCCATAAACGCAACTTTCTATTTCATATGCGCTCTTGTTGCCAAAAATTTAGGATTATGCTAAATTATCTGGGCAGAGTTGGCAGTAGGTGCTGTTGACTATCTGCCTTTCTTTTTACCCTATTAGTTCGAAGTTACGAGGGCTAGCACAAATAGGTCTTGAATAGTTCTGCGCTAATATCCGAAACGAAAAAAAAAACAAAAACGAGGCTTAACTATTTTTCTAGTAGCAGCCCTACACATATTGACCAAACATGCAGTTTTAATAAGACAAAGAAATATAAAGGATAGATGGAGAAACAATGCAATGAAAATCGAAAATGTCAAGATTTTACAAAACACATAAAAAAATGTGAAAAGCTCTCAGATTCAGGAGTGCAAATAATGTGCTTATAAGATGACTAACTTGTGTTTTACAAATACAAGACAAACTTTTGTTCCTCGGACATGTACATCAGATCAACATACTATACTCATTTCCTAAGAATGTGTTACGTTTAAATAATTAAATCCACGCAATCGTCTATATTTATCAACCAACTCGATATATATTTAGGGAAAGTAAAAATATAAATTTAGAACAATAAAATGTAAAGTTCACAGCGGAAAGAACGATTATGACTTTTGATTTTTCATGAACTAAGCAACTAGCTAGTATTCACCTTATATCTTTTGATATATAATGTTGTTCTGTCACATTCTTCATGTTACAAGATAGCATTAAACTTAGATTACACTTCTCAGCAGAATGAGTCAATAGTGGATTTTAACGGAAAGGCATCAAAATAACTTTACTTGCTCAAACAAGAAATCGATGGCTTGGAAAACACCAAGCCAAAGATTTCATTTGTTTGGCAATTTATTTTATATTTTGTTTGAATTAATTTTATATGGCATTTTCATAATTAATTAAATGTTTATGCAAACTGACACTTTCTCCATGATTATTCAAAATAAATTTGTGAATATGATTAAAATATAAATAAGCGATCTTACGCTAAATAATAATCATGATATATATATGTATATACTTATATATATGTTTAATTTTAGAACTTTAGATTAGGATTTGAAGTAATCCAAAGATATGTCAAAGAATGTTCAGTGTAAGCTTGCTAATTAAAATAACATTAATTTACACTTATAATTTTTTCGTCATTAGCTAAGCTATTTCCAAAAAAGTGAAAAGTATATAACGATTATTTTTATTGAACATTTTATTAACTAGTATATACGATAACGTTTGTAACAGTACTTAGCTGGTTATACTGCTGAGTTAATTAACAAATACAATACATAGAATACGTGTTCTTGAGTAACGGTACAATGTTTATATTCTACAGACAAATGAAAAATGGAATGCAGTTATTTATGGGTTAGGGAGGAGTATTTTTCAAAGCATCTAGGAAAACAATTGTTTTTGAGAAAAATAATAAACATTTTATGTATTATACGTGTTATTTATTAATTCTGTACTAAACCCATCTGATACGCGAGAATTAGATACAAATGAGGAGCATCACTGGCTGTTATTCTTTTAAGACTTGTCCACCTTAGGTACATATAACTCCTATATTATGTGCTAATATGTCACAATTGTATTACTGAAATTTAATATCCCCATTGATTTAACAGTAACCAAACTTCAAAATATAGTAGCAGCATCAACATTTTCAACCCTTGACACGATTTTACAAAAAAATAGTATTCAAAATTTCATTATTTTAAGGAGAGAAAGAAAATGAGATAATTTTACACCAATAATTAGCAAGAAATGCGTGTAAAACATAATTTGAAAATAGTGAATAAAAATACTTAAGGATCTATAGCAAATTAAATGTAAAATGAAATATTATTCTCTGCAAAATAATAGCAATTCCTGTTTAGCTTAAAGTTCAATAATTCGTAAGAAGTCTTTTGTTTCTCAGTAGCAATACGTACATGCAGATTACTGTGCACAAGAAGTTACAGGTGTTATTATCAACATATAGGTTCACAGTGTTTGTTTGTCTTTCTGAATACACCATGCAATACTTTCAATGCAGTGTTTCTAGAATAAAAACTTACTCCGTGAACAACAAACAAATGAAGCACATTATAAAACGAAATGTGTTAAAAATTAATCTAAAACTAAGACATATCTAACACATTGTTTTGCTATAAAAATTTAATAAGAAATTGATATAACTTAAAAAAATCATTTAGTAGTTATTAAGATGAATTAAAAATTTTTACAGGAGCACTTAATTGATTATGAAACTTTAACTATAGTTTCTTTCTAGAAACGTAAAGTCTTAGCTACAGATTATGTCTGGCTTTAGTGTTCAGATCATGTTATACTCAGTTTTCAAACAATTTGATGATGAAAGGGTTATTTAAATAATTTCAAATAAAGACCATGAAAGGAGAAACAGGAGTTTATTACGTCGCGTCAGATCTATTTCACGTGGTATTGGTTGTTAAATAATACATATTTTAAAACTAAAATTATTAACTTTAAACTATAATAAACTATAATAAGTTCTTACATGTTCGTTTGTTTTACAAACGGAATACTAATCTCGTAAAAGTATCATCAAAGAGTTACTTATAAATTGCCTCACCAATCTAATGATTACACATTTCTCTTGTATATGAGAGTTCATAAACCTACCTGAAAATAAATATGAAAAGAATGAGAAGGGAAAAGAAAACAGCTACGTTGTCCATGGTCCGCAACATTATGACAAGTTGTCTTCGAAGAGCTGGCATGAACCTGACTAACTTTAATATCCTAAGAAGACGAAATGTTCTTAAAACTGACAATCCGCTACCACTACTTTGCCAGAGTTCTACAATGCTGCAAACAGATAAAACAATTATCATTAGATAGAAAAAAGCACGTTAAATAAACAGTCATTCTATCAAATAACAAAATACCTTTCGATATTAATGGTAGACGGTAGGATACTTTTACTTTGAAAATAACTATTAGCAATGTTTCCAACTGACAGAGAGGAAAAAAAAATAATTCAACCTCAAATACATACACATATATATATATATATTAGTGGCAAATCCACACCAGAAACACATCTCAAATGAAAAAGAAAGCAGCTGATTGTAATGTACAAAGATGGTGTACATAACGAAGAGAAAAATGGCCATACCATCTATAAAGTGTTATATTTATAAAAGATCTAATAAGAATAATAATTTTCTAAATTTGTAAAAAAAAACGTATAATAATCAATATTAAAATAGCACATGTAAATACCTATCATTAATCTCATATTTCTTATACTGGCTTTTTTAATGATATTTTAGTAAAATAAATACATACAATACATATTATTTTAGAAATTTATTGATTGTTTATGTATGCAGCCGCTACATTGGCAAGCATAAACTGCAAAGAACAAATTGTACTTATAACCAATGAAACATTATCAGCTTTACAAAGGACTTACCTAAGGATCACAATAACGCCATCAAAAACATTGAAGCCATTACTTATATAACCAAAGACGCCTTCGGCTAGGACTTTTAGCAACATTTCGAGACCAAAGATCCCAGTTAGAATCAAATTAAACACCTCCACTGCAAAAGTAAGTTCTTTCGGCTGAAAAAAGGAATAACCTTTTTGAGGTGCTCAAATAAAATATTTGTCTCACTTGTGCTTTTATTTCAAATATAACATGAACCTTAAAAAGTCTAGCATTCTTAAGACAACTAAATTCTAATGTGTACAACTAAGTTCAAGAAATAAACTTGCTCGATCAAAGTTCAACTTCTTTTTGACACTCAGTAGCCTAATAACATTTAGTTGCTATTTAATTTCACCTGATAATACAATCCCCTAAACAGAATATACATATAAGAGTCTTAAATTCATAAATGTTATTTATATATTTCCATAGAAGAATAATTACTGTAAAAGTTAAAGTAATTACAAGCGTAGCCAGCAATAATCACTTCACTTACTTGGTTATGATATTCTATGCCCATACTGAGCGTGTTAATCAAGATTGCTGTAAGAATTCCTCTTTGAAAGTATTTGTGGCCAACAAAACCTTTGAGCTTGGCCCTGTGGGGCTTCCACCAGTAGAAAAAGCTACTAAGTGGTCCCCTGCGTACGCTTCTTTCATCATCAATCTCCCCTTCTGAGTCAGTCCAGCCACATTCTGAACGACTTTGGTGACTTTCTTTTTCCCTATCCAGTTCACAGAGGATAACAGGAGCTGAAGAATGTTTCTGTCCTGAGGAGGAAAACAAGACATATCTAACTGACGTAAGAATTGAATGTTTTTCATAACGATTCATAGATTAGTAGCGTGTAACTTAGAGCCCCTGGTAAAAATATATATTATATACTATTGTAACTAGGTAAATTTTACAAACGTAGTTTTATTTGTGAATATAACACTTATAAAGATTATCAAACGTGCTAAACTTCTCAGTTAAAAAACAGCGACTCTTTGCTACAGAATTAAACATTATCATCAATAACTTTCTAGTATAGAATCTGAGCTGTGGTCATATATATATATCAGATAAATAATATATGCGTTTTGTCATTTTCCTCTGATTCGTGAACTTATAAATATTATATACTTAACACAAGATATTCAACGCCACCAAATAACAGTTGAGCGAGATTTACCCGTCTATAATTATAGGTTTCTTGAGCCCCATCCTCCTTTCTTAACTAGTTTTAACATAACTTGAACTCTTGTTTAACATTTATCATTAGAGTTCCTCCAGTTGTTTGAATGTGATTAGAAAACTTGTGGACATAAGGCTGAAGAGGTTTATTCCTTTCCTTTTAACTAATCTGAAAATAGTCAGTATTCCTGTAGCCACTCAGTTTTTATAAGACCAATCTTCTTCTTCTTGAACTTATGCGAATAAAATTAGTAAACTTGTATCATTATTGTTTATTAGACTTATATCTTTCATTTAGTTTGTCAGAATGTAGTTAGTTTCCTGTAACGATATGTTATGCGAAACGTTTTGCTTCTCTCGTTTACTTTCATGGAAATAACGAGTCTGTCTGTAACTATATTAGTATTGAAACTCGTCATTTTCCATTTATTCGTGAAATCGTAATGTCTGTAACTGTGCATTTCAGTGTCGCTTTAATAACATTATATTGATAATATATTGCACCATTGTCCACAATGGAGTTTACCTTTTTTTAAGCTGGAGTAGAACCTCTGCATAGCATAGTTACTGGCTAGACTGGCGGCTAGTGCAGCGCCCTGAGCTCCAGTAAAGGCAAGAAGCTCAGCACAAGTCAGTTGAGACGTTTTACTATTACCGCTGGCGCTAGAGTGTTGACGAGTAACCTGAAGAGACACCTGTCTGGTGGAAGACTGGGGTTTTCTAGATGAAGGAGTGAAATCTGAAGCAAAAAAAAAAGCAAACAATGTTCATTTAATAAAATGTTTACTTTTAATGTTTACTTTTAATGTTTACTTAAAGTCATGATATATGATATAGATAACTAGATTACTAGTACCACAATAATTAGTCAATAATAGAAAAATAACATATTACAAAATAAATCCAACTTTTGTGCATATTACGGTGCTACAAACATTAAATAATCAGCTGTGTGTTAATTTGTTCTTTGATTCTCTGTTATTGGATATGGTTTGCACAAATTTTCCTTTCTTAGGTACATGTGCATATTCCCAAATTTATGATTTTGGTAACAATATTGAGCGATTTAAAGCTTTTTTTTTCTTCTCATAATATTGATGCACTTTATCTAATTGTCACTCCCATGAAACATACCGGTGATGCTTAAATTTCAGTTATTGTGTTTTTTTTTTATACAAATTGTAATATCTGCTTGTCAAAAATACCAAACATAATGAAAATAAATTGAAAACAGGTTAAACAGTGATTGACATCTTAATTATACCTGGATTTTCAACAGTTCGTGGGCAATCACTGACAGAAGAGTTGTCAGGACTGCATACACTGCTAGGAACTTTGAGCAAGCCCGGTCTTGTCGGCGATGACGTGGGATCAATAACTGAAACCTCAGGACTAGCACATGGAGCTGCACATGTTTCATTAGGAGACCACATACCAGAATGTTCGGGAGTTTGAGATGTGTGAACGCATGAAATTGGATTGAAGGTCATGGAATCAAAGTTATTGTTGTTTGAAACATCGTGAGAAGACCCTTGACGTTTTAATGAACTTTGTTCTGGCTGCCAAGGAAGATTTTGACGTTTTAATGTACTTTGTCCTGGCTGCCAAGGAGGCTTTTGACGTTTTCTTCGTAAAGAAATTGAACGAGGCAGGTCTTCTTTTCCATGTTTTCGACGCATTTGTTTGTACCACTGTAAAAATCTGCGTCTTGCACGACGCCCGAGATGGGCTAAATATTTAACCATTTCTGTATAGCAGCTAAGAGGCTGTTCTGATGCACTGGTGCTAGCGAGAGTACTTGTTGACTGAAACCTTGCACGTTCTAGCCTCATTCTCTCCAATTCTCGCTTTTTTGTTTCGGAGAATTGCGTTGCTATCACGACCAAGCAGAGGTTGATCATGAAGAATGAGCCAACCTAAAATAATTTGATAAGAATGTAATTATAGCTTTTGAATAAGTAAGTTTAAGAGAGTGGTTTGGATACGCTAGAACTTAGCACATATGATAATTGCTTTCCTTTACATGAATGGAAGGATGTTTAACACACTAACGGACGTCTGAATAGGAAGTATTAATTAAATTATAGCGTAAAGAGCGATGTTAAAAACGACAAAGGGGAAGCTGACACAAAGAGTTTTGTAACTGATAGTGATTACACTTTATATAAGAAATTCGCTTAAAAAAATATATATATCAATAACATAAATATTATGAGTTATTAACAAACACTTCGCTCTCGACATAAACATATTCTTAAAGCACAGTGTTACTTGTTATTCTTTTGGATTACCCTGTTGTTAAGTTTAACAACTTTTAAAATGGTTTGAATATAAAAATAATGAAAAAAATATAAGATAGCTCCGAAAGTAGGTTAATATATATATCAACATTTACACCTGTTATTAAGATTGAACATTAGTTCTCACCACAATAAGAAGTACAAAATATATCCAATCCCAAAATGAATGAGCATCTTGGATGTAGTACATTATATCTGTCCATCCTTCTAGGCTAATTACCTAATCAAAGAAAGAAAATAAGCTGTATTTCTAGCTTTAGTTAATTGTTGTTACAATACGGTCACAAGTCATGAATTCACAGCAAATATTTTGTTAGGACAATTGTGAGCTGAGTTCAAATGATAACGTATATATATATATTTACAAGATATAAACTTTTACATTTAAACAAACGTAGAAATCCACTTTAATAGATAAAATAGGTGTTAATATTTATTTTAAAAAGGTAAAGATAATGCAAAAAATTTAAAACATATATATTTCATGATATTTTTAGTGAATAACTGTTATATAAATCTTTTAGTGCATTCTTATAGAATTTTCTTTATCGATTAACTATTAAAGTAGATGTGAAAGTGGTACGTACAAATCATGCAACAATGATAAAGGCAGTGCAGAAATGTTACTTCTCATAATTATGGAATAATACTGCATGAAATTCAGAAATAAGTGTTCATTATGTATGAAGATTAAACAAAATAAGAAGTAAAAAATAGTATTCTTAATTAATTGATATAAATCATTCCGTGATTACAAAGTGAAATGTATACCAAACAAAATATAACACATGACACTGAATAACTCCTTAAAACAATAAACTCATTACTTAATATCTTTTAAGGATATAGCTCAATGTAAGCCATCTATCGATATTGGAGCTAACGCTACAGTACTTAGTAAGACATATTCCATTGTTTAATACCTTAAAAGGTATAGTTCGCTACGCAATATCAACAAAAAACGTACAATTTATCGTTCAATGATTAGGAGAAAACAACCTAGATCACTGTAAAATACCCACCAAAAATATAGCTACCCAAGCTAATCCGATATTATCGAATGATATGGCTCCACGAAAAGGGTTTTTATCGCCAGCACGGCATATCTTATAGTACTGGTTCCAGTTTACACACGATGTATTGGTGGGGGTGTTATTGCTTTGTGGCACGGCAGACGCATTGCACGTCATGCCTTGATGTTGATAATGAGGCAGGTTGTCACATCCATGAATTCCGTTGTCTTTCTCCACGCTACATATATAATCTTTTTCTGCTGCGTGGCGTTGATAATAAGAAGACACTGGGCTGGAAAAAAAGGATTACAATTTTTTTTCGAATAGAAAAAATAAAAAGAGCGAAAATATGAATTTCATAGATTTAATAAATATTATATGTTACTCGTTTTTTTAAAAGTATCTACATGGATTATGTTTATTTATTAGATGTGTTAAAACTCTTCCAGTTACAGATGTATATATATATATATGTGTTAAAACTCTTCCAGTTACAGATGTATATATATATATATATTCTTATTATATATTCATTATTAGAAAAGTATTAAAAATAATCAAATAACAAATGTTGAACAGAAATATTTTTATGTATGCTGTATGAGTAAAGTATCCAAAGCAGTTTGGCAGCAAGTTGAAAATTTATTTCATGAAAGAAAGATGTACTTATATTTCCACTTGCTTGCTATTATGTTCGTTGTAAGTGTATCAGCAGCCAAGGGTGTTATGAAAATAAAGTAGAATAGACATCTTTTCAGTGCATTGACTCATCAGAAGACATTGGAATAAACTTGTTGAAACAGCTTATGTTTTAATTATTTCAATATATCTTGTTTCATGCTGTTGCTTGAGTTTGTGATTTTTTAATACTTCTGCCTTCATATATTCTTACATAGGTTTGAAATATTATATCTGTAAGAAATAATTTGTTTTAATTCACTAAAAGAGCGATTTAATTTTTTCTTGGTGAAAATACGTGTGGACTAATCTAAGTAATCAGTGATTTATCATTTCATGTCTAAACTCTCACTAATGTTTTCTCTGAGTCTAAAAACAGTCTCTTTAGATAGATCGAACTTTTAAAAACTCACATAAGTGCAGTCTAAATAAGGATTCAACTTTTGTAGCTCATTGACCAGTTCTTAAAACATTAGTTTTAAAATCCTTATAGCGCATTGTTAGTTCAGATAATTGATTCTAGTAAACGTTTTACCACAGTATACTGTATGTGTATTAGTAGCCACAAATGCTGGCTTTTAAATTGTACTAACAGCTCTCACAAAAATATGAATACTTTACTCTGCATAGTATTTACGAAAACATGTATTATTTAATTACCGTAAAATAAACAAGTTCATTAGAAATGAGTACCTTGTAATGACTCAAAATAATCGGATAATTATTATTTTGTATCAGTTCAGTCTTTAATAACAACGTTTACATTATAAAATAAAATGTACTAGAATATCTGAATCTTCCTTGCTAGTTTCTTTGAAATAATAAAATATGCTCATAGAAACAGATGTCACACTCTACCAGTAAACGAAAAAATGCTTACATTATTTTAATAAACGAATAGTAATAATAAAATTTATAATATTAAAAAATACAATGCTTTTTATCCACTATTTCTTGAAAATATAATAAATTATAAAAATTTAAATTCTTAGTCAAGACCATCTAATTTTATGACAGAGTGTCGAAACCAAAGTGGCATTGGTAATTAATTAATTTAGTTTTATAGATTGTTACTTGTAGGTGAATCACTGCATATTGAAGAACGGAAGAAATATTACTGCAAGTTTAAGTATCTTCCTGGCATTAAACATGATTATTGTTGTTCTAAATTAGTTTTGCCTATTCTACATTTATTCTACTCAAAGCATTCACAAGTACTAAGTTTCCAACTCTAAAAGGGAAGGAATGCTAACAATATTACTGTATTAAAACATTCTCTACTACCAAATATCGCATCATGCACAATTAGCTACATTGCTGCATCCAAAGTCGGCACCGTTTAAAAGGCTTTGTCCACTAGATGGCAGCACTAGTACATGCTAACACCCACATTTAACATTCACCTGTACGCTCAGCATGCTTAACACCTCAGGTTATTGTAAGCATAGACTTCCATAACAAAGAGTTTCAAAAATCTTTAGCATTTTTACTTTGACAAAATTTTGATTGAATGTTACAGAAGCACTATAAAAGGTAAATGTATTTGAAACTTGCTTGTTATGCAATCTATGTAACATTCGCATGCTCAACGGCGATATAGGAAGTAAACACGTTCTTACTTAACAATTTTCACTTTTTCAACATAATACGAAGAAATATACCTGAAAAACAAGATAAATTGTTAAACATTGTCCAGGAAATACCTTGTATTATTTTACACAAACAAATACAGAAAAATCCAAGAACAAGAAAAGAATAATCAAATAAAACATTTTAAAATGGATTCGATTTAATAGGTATAAATTTTATTGTTATCTTAAAGACGTCTAGTGGTGTTTATTTAATATAGTTTATGGTAAAATTGACTTACTTCCAATTGAACACATGCTATACACATAATAAAACATTCTCTAATTTTAGAAAAGCAAAACACCTTCAAACTACAATCATTTACAAATATATATGATTACTCATAGTATTTAATCCTTCAAATATTTTTCAGTCTTATTGAAGCTGTAATAACCTCTTCTTGTTTCTAATATTTTTATTGATTTTCATCATCATTATATATATATATATTATTTATTCTAATCTAATAATTTACTTATAAAAAACTTTATTTTCTCAAATTCCTGAAACTATATTTGCAAAAAAAAAATCTTAAAGGCGTAAATATCAACTGTTTTGTTTAACATCCTTACTAAAAGTTAATATAGTATAGAACACCTTGTGTCAGCCAAGCGTAGTTTATACTTTAGTGCTGTGTATGACACTACATCACAATAAAATTGAAATGTTGTTTTGTTAAAAGAAATATTTCATTACTGGGTCTAGACAGGTTTCCAGTTTGAAGAACATAATGGCATCTGGATCACATCTGGAAAAACCATTTAGGGCAAGTAAAGAACAATTTGAAAAAAATATATATTATCAGGCTTATTGTAATGTAATGGCACACAAAACACATAGCATTAAATGCCGTAATAGTTGATTTATTATAAGTAAATAGCGTTTCAATCTAGGTTTTGTGTGTTGCATGTCCAGCCGACATGAAGAGCTCTGGTATTGGATAAAAAAGCCTCGTTAGAAGCGGCGTGCTGCATATAACGCGTGTGGTATTACGCTCTTCTTACTCGAAACTCATATAGGGCTGGTAATGACATATTTGTTAAAAATTGTCGTTATTTATATTGTCATGAAACATCACCATAAAACTCTTACTGCAATTTTAGTATTGGAATTTTCAACTTGAACAGCATTTATGCGCATATGGATGAACTGGCAGGTGATAGATGTTTTGGTTCAGGTATACCTGAACAACTAACCACACGGAAAGCAGCCAGACAGAACCGTACAACGTGATAAGAGCTTTGTCCAGTTCCATGAAATGAATAACTAGGATTGACTGTTAATGTATATCCCACCAGAACTGAAAGTTCGGAGTGTATTTAGTGGCATTACTTCTCGAGCTCTGGACTCCTCGATTTACAGCTCGACACGCTAACCACCAAACTATGCCTTGCCAAGATTTTCTAAAATAACTTTTAAAAAAATCATTACGTATATTTGTTTAATTTACAATTAATTATTTGAGAATAATTATCTCGGTTTCAGATATAATTCATCAAATGTTAAAGATCTAGCTAATTCGTTTCAGAGGATATAATATTAAAAGTGTATTAAAATCAAACAATGCGACAGTTTTGTATTTGTATAAAAAATTCGTCCAAACCTTTGATTTTATCAAAAAAAGCCATAACATTATATATTACATCTAAGGCTCCGTACTTTTTTTCTCGTATAACAAAACACATGCGACATAACCAGTTTATATTTTGTTTTAAACTCCATTAAAAACAATTGTGGAAAAGAAGTAAATCAGGTAATGCATTATTCTGTCATTTATAATTATGTAACAAATGACTCATTAATTTTTCTAACCAAGCATATATCGCAAGTAAATTCTGTTTTACCTTTATGATGTATATGAAAGAAAAATTCAAATCAGTTTCTAAATCAGAGATAAATGTAATGTTTGTTTGTTTGTTTTGAATTTCGCGCAAAGCTACACGAGGGCTATCTGCGCTAACCGTCCCTAATTAAGCGGTCAGTGTAAGACTAGAGGGAAGGCAG